TATATTTAAATTTTGGAAGAGGTATCGGTACCTCGTACACATAGTACCAATACCTGAGCCATCTGTCTATTCGGTACCTTCTATTTGCTAGGTACCGGTACTTAATCACTAAGGTACCGGTACCTGAGCTCATTGTTTGCTAAGTACTAGTACCTACATGTCATGGTATCAGTACTTGAGCCCACCATCCATCGAAGTACCGGTACTTGAAGTCTTGGTACCAGTGCCTGAGCCTACTAGAATCCAAGTATTGGTATCCTGTAAGTCTAGTTACTAGTACCTAGGCCATCCAATAACGTGGTACCGGTACTTAACCAATTAGGTAATGGTACTTGGGCCCAGATTTTTCTCAATTCTTTCCAAACTTTAACTTTTGTCCATCTAAACTCATTCTACACTCATTCATATACACAAATTCTAGTCCATATTACATGAACCTTTGTATAATTTCACAAGATCAATTCAAATTACATATTTGATTACAAATATACAATTTAAAAGGCACATTCCAATTTCTTCTTAACAAGGGCCCAAGGGAGGGCCGTCTACTGGTGTTTGTCCCGCACCTGAAATATTGTTCCTATAAAGAGTGAGTCACGCTCAATAGGGTATCTACTAAGAAGACTACTCCCCAACCCAGATGCATATGAAATGCTCACATGCAATTTAACAAGTAATCAATCATCCAGTCAATAATATATAATTCACATTGGATTGCACAATGTCATGTCACGTCATGAGATGCTACTCACATATGTAATTCAACCCGAGCACTCAACCGGCTCCCATACCACATGTAATGTCATATATTTATGGAATTCCACCAACGGGTACTCAACCGACACGACATTTATAGACTTCCACCAAACGGCTCAGCGTATGGTGACAAACTTTATGGACTCAATACCAATGAAATGCGTATTCAAATCACTAGGTCTTGCACTCAAGGGAGAGTCTAACCCTTTTTGCTAATCTCGGCCCTTATTTTTCAATGCAAACTGTGTGACTTAGTCAAATCTAAGTCCAACTTTCCTGAGCCTACGTATCAACCCACCGAGGACAGTGTTTGATCAAAACTATGAGCACACATCCATACTCATGTCATAACATTGGTAATATCATCCTTAATGATATTAAAGTTAACCAATATTATGGTAAAAATATGATTGACACCTTTATCTACATTTGTCGGACATACGACACTAGTTAATCCCATCGATGTCGTATATTTACCTTTAAATTTTTATTATTATCCACGGTTATCGTAATATTAGCCAAAATGACAGTAAACTTGACTTAGATATTAGTAACCTTATCTACAATCATTCTAACTTAACCCTAAATTGTAGTAAATTTACCTTTGATCATTGTAAACTTACCCACAGTTGTCCTGAGTATTACCAAAATAGTCGTAAATGTTCCTCTAAACTTCTAAATATGTCCACAAATTTGGTACATTTATGCACAATGGTGGTAAAATTGTTCTTAATTGTGGTAAATTTCTCATAGTTCTAATAAATCTTACAACAATAGTGATAATATTATCATTAATGATATTAAAGCTAACCAATATGATGGTAAAAATATGATTCACATATTTAACTATGTTTGTCATAACTACAACGCTAGTGCATTCCACCAATATTATATATTGACTTTTAAATTTGTATTATTATCCACGATTATTGTAAATATTAACCAAAAATGAAAGTAAACTTAATCTATATACTAGTAACCTTATCCGCAATCATTCTATCATCATAAATTTACCCACCGTTATTGTAGTTATTATTAGAACAATTATAAATATTCCTCTACACTTGTATATATGTCCACAAATCTGATACACTTACCCACAACTACGGTAAATCTACCTTAAATATTGGTAACTTATTCACAAATGTTATAAATATTATTAAAATTGTCGTAATATTTTCCATAATGATATTAGATCAAACCATTGTGGTGGTACAAACTATGAATAGCCCATTTGAACACATTTGTTGTAAAATTGACTATAGTGAATGCCCCAAACATTGTAAATTTACCTTTAAGTTCATAATAATATCCGTCATTGTCGTAATATTAACCAAATTAATAGTAAAATTACTCTATAAATTAGTACCAGTGGGTCTTTGGTCCAATGATACTCTTTGTCTTGTAAAATCTTTACATTCTTACCTTTTTGAGGTTAAGGTTTTGGTCCAACTTATTTGGTCAAAAGTAACTGTAGTAAATTTGCCCCTACATATTGTAATATTACCCCAATTATGGTAAATTCGTTCATAATGTAACTTAAACACTTTTGTTGTAAATTATCCTTTATCATCGTAATATTGACCAAATAAGTTGTAAATACTCTTCCTCTCCAAAACTGTGATATCATTTGCCTCAAATGTTGTAAATTGATCACATATAGTGGTTACCTTACCTACAGATGTTATAAATTATCCCAAAAATATCATAAATATGTCCACAAACATAGTATTGTAATTCTAGTCCCAATATTGTGGTATAAATTTTTGATAGTACTAATTGGACTTGTACTATGTGACAAAGTTAATTGTATTGTACTATATAACTTGTACTATTTTAATATTTAAATTTTTTTAACCATTACCGATTTTGGAAGTGAATTGTTACTCCATTGAAAAACTCAAAAAGTAAAAATAAAAGTTGATCAATAGTTCCCATTACTTGACAGGCCCATTAACGGCTCACATTGGTATTTCGGTATGGTACCAAAAAACCAAATGGAGGTACCATAGCCGGATCCGAATATTATTATAGTAATTACATAAAAGGGTAGAAACATAAAATCCACGTTGCAGTGCTACCATTTATTTCTTTCCATGCATTTTCTGCCCTAGACCGGAGAGAAAATCTTTAGTGGGTGAAAGTCATAGCTTTTTCCTTTCACTTTAGGTGGTGTTTAATAAAACTGAAAGTTGAATACTGAAAAATGANATAGCTTTTTCCTTTCACTTTAGGTGGTGTTTGATAAAACTGAAAGTTGAATACTGAAAAATGAATATTGAATTTTAAATATTGAATTTTTAATTTACAGACTGTTTGATATCAATTGAAATTTAACTATTGAATTGAATCAAATTGTTTGACAAATATAAGAAACCGGAGTTTAAAAATTATTATTATTTTAATTTTATCCTTGTTTTTAACCACTTTACCGCAACTACCTTATTCTTACTACCACCATCAAATGAAGGCAATGTTGGTGGTGGCGGTAGTGGTGGATTGTAGATATTGAAAAGTTAAAAATATAAAATTTATTGATAGTATATTTTTGTTCATTATGAGAAATTTTATAAAATCCTTGCAGACTAACATTTTTAGAATTAAAGGATAAGTAGATGGTTTGTTACTTAAAATTTTAACCTATTTTTAATAAGTGCTTAAAATATTAATTCGTCTTTTGGTATGATGAAAAAAATAGAAATATGAAAAGTTAGATGAATTGATAAAACATTATATTTGATAAAGAAGAAAAATATTAAGGATGAAAAAAATGATGGANAAAGGGTAGAAACATAAAATCCACGTTGCAGTGCTACCATTTATTTCTTTCCATGGATTTTCTGCCCTAGACCGGAGAGAAAATCTTTAGTGGGAAAAAGTCATAGCTTTTTCCTTTCACTTTAGGTGGTGTTTGATAAAACTGAAAGTTGAATACTGAAAAATGAATATTGAATTTTAANAAAGTCATAGCTTTTTCCTTTCACTTTAGGTGGTGTTTAATAAAACTGAAAGTTGAATACTGAAAAATGAATATTGAATTTTTAATTTACAGACTGTTTGATATCAATTGAAATTTAACTATTGAATTGAATCAAATTGTTTGACAAATATAAGAAACCGGAGTTTAAAAATTATTATTATTTTAATTTTATCCTTGTTTTTAACCACCTTACCGCAACTACCTTATTCTTACCACCACCATCAAATGAAGGCAATGTTGGTGGTGGCGGTAGTGGTGGATGGTAGATATTGAAAAGTTAAAAATATAAAATTTATTGATAGTATATTTTTGTTCATTATGAGAAATTTTATAAAATCCTTGCAGACTAACATTTTTAGAATTAAAGGATAAGTAGATGGTTTGTTACTTAAAATTTTAACCTATTTTTAATAAGTGCTTAAAATATTAATTCGTCTTTTGGTAAGATGAAAAAATAGAAATATGAAAAGTTAGATGAATTGATAAAACATTATATTTGATAAAGAAGAAAAATATTAAGGATGAAAAAAATGATGGATTAATTTTATTTTCAACTTATCAAAATCAATCCCTCCATAATTAGGAGAAAAAGTAGATGAAAAGTTATTTATGTATTTTGAAATATTTATTATTTGTCCATATATCATATTTATCAATTACATATTATGTATTTATATTTTTTTTTAAAAATAAAAAATTGAAATTAAAAAAATATATTTTTTCCATCTTACTTAACACAAAAAAATATTTTTTCCTACTTTTCATCGCTCTTACCAAATACAAAAAAGGGAAGAAAGAATTCTTCCTTTACAAAAAAATCAATTCTTTTTACTTTTCATCTCTCTTACCCAACCCAAAGGAGAGAAAAAAATATTCCTCCCTTGAAGGATAAAAAACATATCACTCACACCTTATATCCTTTCATTTTTCTATCCATCCTACCAAGCAGACTAAAGTGCTATGAGTTTTAAGTTACCAAACAGGTTGAATACATTAAGTGCTTAAAATATCAAATTTTAAGCATTAAGTGATATTATCCAACAGTCCCTTATTCTCCCTCTTATTTTCTACTTGTACCAAACAATGAAAAATCAATCTTTCCATCCTCCTTTCCATCCGCCCTATTTACCTCCTGCCAAACAGCCCATTAGTCAGTTTTCAGGAGTTTATGGTCTCATTGATTTCTTTAATGTTCATACAGTGTTACATTAATGAAAAACTTACAATATCAGAAATTAAAAAGAAAAGTTATTTTCTGCAGTTTGATCTGTAGAAAACTAAATGCGAATTTCACATACAATAACTCGCTTTCTATATATTACAATTACGGAGCAGTTGTTCGTCATGCTCATTGTAAGACAACTTCCATAGCATTTCACACACAAATTTGCAATTGCATAAGAAATTGAAGATGAAAATCATCCACAAAGACAAAAACAGTCCGAAGAAAATGTGGACTGTCAAAAAACTACGCCAAGGAGGAGGTCGTTGCAAACCTCTCATCCAAGACCCATGTGATATGGAAAAGAAAACTAATAAATTCAGAAAAACAACGAATGGTATATGCACCAAAATCACCTAGAACAGCATCTAGTTGCTCAGTGGCAATCCACCTGAAAAATAGCTAAGCAAAGCTTGACGAGCGACTCCATCTACCTTTCAAGTAATCCTCTAAAGAGATGCTTTGCTCAGTACTGCTAACGGAAAGTGAGTCGTCCTCTACATTTAGCAGTGCAAGGTTAATAAAAGATTGCATGTTTGTTGGAGACTGTTCGGCATCAACATCGTGTGAGACATCGACATGTTGTCTTGCCCACGTGGTTATTTCTGTTTCACCCAGGAGGAGCTTTAAAACCTTGATTTTAATCACAAGAATAAGTGAGAATAGATATCTAGATGATCATAGAAACAAAATAACCCCAATTCCAGTTGAGATGACTCACAAGGCTAATCTGCGGCCTCAATTGAGGTGCACGTTTGATGCAAAGGCTGGCAGCTAAAACCATTTTTTCCAATTGATCATGGTCATAATCACCCCCAAAGCTTGGATCTAACAGCTGGGAAACCTTCTTGCCCTTTAAAATTGGCTCTGCCTGGAAGCCAACATCAAGATCCCAATATTAGTTTGATAACAAGGTTTGGAAGCATCAATATGTACATCAAAGAACAGTCAAGTTCTGTAAATTTTCAGCCGGGCCAATAAGTCCTACTTTTTAAAAAAATTTCTAAATAAGCAAACAATCTACTTGAATTTATGTTTTATTCCTTATAACTACAAAACTAATAGTTGCCAACCCTAAATTTTTTATAAATGAAAAAAAAACATTAATTGTAAAATCAACATCAAACTAAAACTTGTGAAAGACTGAAACAAATCACTAAATTGATATGGATTTTAAGTGGAAAGAAAGTTCTTAAGAAAATAAAGTGAATGAATTTACTGTTATTATAAGCTGATAGAAATTGTTTTTTTTTCTAATTTATGTTTTAATTAATTATCTTTTGAAAAGTATGTTTTACTGAATTATTATATTTTTAGTGTTCATAGTAAAATTAACTTTGGTAGTTCTAAGGAATAAAATACTAAATTGTGTATTTTTCTGGAATCATTTTCGACAATGTAGGACTTACTGTTCTGCTGAAAATTACAGGAAAACCATTATGTTGTGTGCACGGAGTTTTAAAATTGTTCCAGATAATCCTATAATGACAACATGCACATTTCGTTTCCAATTGCATTCAATTTCCTCAACCCATTCTTGAATTTCTCAGTGAATTAATTTTATTATTTCAGATCACACATTATGGGTTATAGTTAAAAGCAACCAAATCCTGAACTCTAAAATTTGTAACAATGCAGACAAAAACTTACCCACATAACCAGGCATTCCTGGCCTTTAGGATTTCCATTGTCAATTGGCTTTCTACCAGACAAAAGCTCTAGAAGTACAACACCGAAAGCGTAGACATCAATTTTCTCGTTCATTTTGCCATGCATAAAATATTCTGGAGCCAAGTAACTGCCACAGAAGAAACTGTCATCAATTAAATTGAAAATCACCAAAATTAAAGTTACCGAACAAGTAACTCACCCAAAAGTTCCTGCAACATCCGTGCAATCCACATGGCATGAAGAACTCGAAGCTGGCATGGCAAGTCCAAAATCAGACAGCTGCAAGATCAAAATGAATGTTAACACAAATAAAAAGGTTTGAACAAATAATACAATGACCAAATAATGTACTACCAGTGGCTCAAAATCATCCAAAAGAAGAATATTGGAAGATTTCACATCCCTGTGAAGGATGGGCTGAGGAGCTCCATTGTGTAGATAATCCAATGCCTCAGCAACACCCAAAGCCACCTTATATCTGTGTTCCCAACCAAATATGTTTCCATTCTCCTGGTTACCTAATTTAACGCATGTCATTCACATAAACTAGAGAAAATCATGATAATTTTATCTAAGTGCTCTAAGGAAAAAATCATCTTGTCCATACCATGGAGATTCTCTTCTAAGCTGCCTCTGGATAGGAAGTCATAAACCAAGAGAAGATTGTTATCCTCGAAACAAAAACCAAATAGTGAGATTACGTTCTTGTGCTGTAAAGCTGTAAGGATCTCAATCTCTGAAAAAAACTGCTTTAACACATCCTCCGAAGGCTTCAAGATTTTCACTGCCACTTCCTTGCCATCTGGAAAACACCCTCTATAGACCTGACTGCTACCACCTTTTCCAATCATATTATCTGGGAAATACAGTCAGCAAAATAGTCAGGGAACACATAGATACAAGTAAAGCTCAAAAAAAGTTACTAAATCAAATATTAGGAGCATAGCTAACCAGGCATAAAGTTAGAAGTTGCCAACAGAAGTTCCTGGTAGCTAAACAGTCTGAAAATTGAGGAGTACAACTCACAAAAACCCTCCAATTCCTCAGGAACACTATTTAGGCAGTAGGCTGGATAAGAAGGCAGAGAGGTAGCATCAGACCCAGACTGAACAATCACTTCCTTCTCTCCATCCATACTAGAAGAATGACATCTATTCTTTTCAGGAATACTTTGCTTCTGATCTGGGTAAACAGCTACCAAAGATTGCCGGCTTGGAAGTTTTAGTACCAATTGCATTAAAGGGATCTTCTTTACAGAAGTTTGTTTGGATGTTTTTTGGGTCTTTAAAAAAAACCGGCGAAGCAATTCCCACCCACGCTTTGATTTGGACAATTGTTGACTCTTAATTGGCACCAAAGCCATTGAGTTGTTCTCAATGCCACAACGCGACAATGATTTTGGGTTACAAGAATCTTCAGGCAAGACAGTCTTCGGTGCTGAGCACAAAGAAATTTTCTTTAAGATTTTCCTCCTATTGGATTTTGGGATCTTGCTCAGTAACCCATGACTTGAAGGAACACGATTCTTCTTCCAATCATCGTCTTCTACAACAAAAACTGAAATTGACATCAATTTTATTGGTTATATAAGCATTGGTACTTTAACAAAATTGGACTCACAAAGAAACTCGGTAAATAACAATTCACAACCTTGAGAATCAGGGACAATGGATGTAGTTGCTTCCCTTTGGAAAACAATTTTACCATTATCAACTGCAACAACAGAAAAATTCTTTGAGAGATGCTTCACACAGTATTTTGCGACCGACACAGATGATTGCATTGTGTGATGAATCCTTGAAGTTCCAACAATTAAACTTGCTGTACCAAAAGATTTCGCTTCATGGACTAGAATTTTACTAACTGGTGATCCTCTGCAGATCTTTAGCTTGAGGTCAACCTAGACAAATTCAACAAATTAATTTTATTAAAGTAATTACATCAACAGCAGCCGTAACATCAGTAGTGATAATCCTAAAGTGACCCCTCTGTAGTTCCTGACAATCATAAAAAATGGAAGAAAACAAAATTAGGATTGAATCATTTGACGATTATTTTGGCTTCCAAAACTATATATTCAAATCAGAATTCCATTAATATGCTGTATTTTGTCAGAGCATAAAATCCTCTCTCTTTCTCCATCAAATGTTCTGGTGATGTTCTGTCCATATCGAAGGAAGACAATCAATATCTCAAAACATTAACATATAACTTCCCTGCATATCTTAATCTTTTTTTTTCCCTTTCCCGGAAGGTACATATCTTAGTCACCAAACAGAAAATTCAAGCAATTGGAAAAAAAGAAAAAAAACTAAACAAAACAAAACCAAACTAAGCCTTATGTCCAAATTATTTAGAGTCGGCTATATGAGTCCGTCTTCGCCATTCATTTCGATCATGCGTTATACGCTCATTTAAGTTAAATATTTTCATAATTTTTTTTATTATTTCATTCGATGTTAATTTAAATCTTACCCTATTTCTAGTACCATTTCAAATAGGTGCCTCTATCGGCCTACGTAGAACATGAACAAACCATGTTAATCTATTATTTTTTAACTTATCCTTAATTGAAGTTATTCCTACCATTTCTCTAATATGGTCATTTCATATTTTATCCTTTCTAATTTTTCTACAAATCCATTTTAACATTCTCATTTCCGCTATCTAACTTTTATTACTTTGTTATTTCCTAGTTGTCTAATATTCCGTGAGAAACAACATTGCTGTCCTTATGAAAAAAAACAAAAAGTTAAGGAAAATCCGCAAAAATTCCATACAGGCAGGGTGAAGCATGTATGCGATTTGCAGAAACCTTCGATATGGTGAATCTTTTGATTTTCAAAAAAAAGCATGAAAAATGCTATTATTTCCTACATTTTACCTACAATCTAACAGGGAATTCAACGAATTATACAAAAGCACCTGTTTTAAGTTGCAGAAACCTTCATAAGCGGCCAGCACAGAATCAAACGTCTTCACAAGAGAGAGAAGCGTCTCCTTGCTCTTTTCTAATTCAAACAACATACAAATCCACAGTCAAAAAACAGATTCCTCGAATTTTACATATTTTAAAAACCCAAATTTACATAGATGCACACACACATACACAAGTGGTCATGGCACCAATAGGACTGAATCCCAGTCCAGTTTATGCAAGGATAGGTATGCACCCAGCCCATCCGTCAATTTTCTACTGGACCAGGCAAAGAATATATGTGTGTGTGTTTACAAACACAGACAGATGTACCTGTCTGTTTCTGTATAGAGAGAAAGAGAGAGAGAGAGAGAAGACATGTGCCTGTCTTGGGATCGAGGACGTGAAGAGCGAAAACTCGATCGCCAGACCGAGCGACCTTAGCTAACGCCCATGTGAACAACTCTCTGCTTTGGGAATCCAACCTCACTCCCACCACCACGACGGCCCCTCCTCCGCCGTCGCCAGTGGTGGTTCCACCATCATTGCTTTCTTCGGATTCCATTAACGTGGTGTTCCCGACCAATTTCATTCCGCCGTTTCCCTCGCCCTCGTCCGTTAAACTCCACTCCACTGTCTCCGTCTCTCTCTCTCTCTCTCTCTCTCTCTCTCTCTATCGCTCTTACATATCATTACATCCCACGTTGCCTCCCGCACTGCGTCTATAAATAAATAACTGCTACGGCGGCAATTATTTGGTGTATCTCGTTCTACGTAGCTACAATGCTACACGATTAATTGAATAAGGACTTTACAATTATAGGGTAAAAATCATATGTGGCCCCAAATTACACTAAGTTTCAATCAAGCCCTTGATTTTTATTTGTCTCAGCTAAGCCCTCCAACTATCTAAAAGTTTCAATGCAGCCCTTCCGCTTAATTTCTCAAAAAAAAAAAAACCTTACATAAAAATGCACATGTGTCTCACTTGACTGGATTAGTGGCGGTATTTTTGGCAAACACCTAATTTCAATTAATCCCTTTTTTTTTTGGGATTGGGAAGGGGAAGGGGAAGGAAAAGGGGAGGGAGACTTGAACCCTTAACCTAAAGAAGATAAAGCTTTTATAAGACAAAGAGTACCATTTGACCAAAGATCCATTGATAATTTCAATCAATCACTTAAACTTTGTTTTATCTTAATTTATTCCTCTAACTATTTAAACAAAATTCAAATCTAGTCCTTCCATAAAAACCTTTTAACAAATTTGCATATAATATACAAGATTAGAGCTGTCAATTTTTAACACGACACATTGACACGATATAAATCGAACACAAAATTAATGGGTCGGACATGAAATTAAACAGGTCAATAGGTAAAAACAGGTCAACATGCTTAAATATGAAAAAAAATCATGTGGGGGTTCATGTTAAAATCAAGTATATCCTATTTTAACTTGATTAACTCGTATATTTTAAACAGTTGACAAGTTTTGGACATGAGTTTGACCTAATCCATTATAGACTCATTTAATTTGTTTATGGTAGTATAGTTTGTCTATTATATATAACTGATGTAGTCTTAACATTATTACTTATTAATTATTGCTTCCACTATAGTAATTGACAGTATAGTTCTTAATATTATTATGACAATATACTAGTATAGTTTTTACTTTAATTTTGGGTTAAAACTTGAATGCATTATACTTCCTCCGTTCTTAAATATCTATCGTTTAAGGTTTTTGCACAGAGATTAAGAAATCTATTAAATAGTTCTAAATGAGTAAAAAATAATTACACAAAATTAAAATACCCTTATTTAATACTTATTGGGTAGGAAATGAATATGAAAAGTACTTANATCTATTAAATAGTTCTAATATGAGTAAAAAATAATTACACAAAATTAAAATACCCTTATTTAATACTTATTGGGTAAGAAAGGAATATGAAAAGTACTCAGTCTCCACCAAATCTAATGCATTGTAAAGTTAAGAGTAAATTTGAAAGAAAAAATATTAATTATGCTTTGGTTTCATTAAACGACAGATATTATGAAACAAAAAAATTGTATAAAACGACAGATATTTAAGAACGGAGGGAGTAGTTAATTTCATTTAATGAGATGTGATATGTTATTGGTAAAAAAAGTATTTGAAATTTTAGATAAATGATTGAATGGTATATTTAATGGAAATAAATAGGTGTGAAATAAGGTTATGTATATTAAATAGATTGTATTATGTGTATTAAACAAGTTAGGTTATTTGTGTTAACTCGAAAATGACATGTTTATTAAACGTGTTAAACTGATCGAATTTGAGTAACCTGTTTAATGGTCATATTAGATTAATGTTTATACATGTCAATACAATTATTAAATGAGTCAGGTTCGTATTTTGAATTTTTTTGACACAAATTTAAATCAACCCAATACAAAATAATCCAATTTAATATGTTTGGCACCCCCGTACAAGCCCAGCGGCAAATAAAGTAGAACCAACGAAAAAGAACGCAAAAAAGTTCTTCCAATAACTCACGTACTTGCAGATGAGTCAGATTCAACCATGACTTTTTACAAAATAGGTGATTAATATTCTTTTTTTGTATTATAAACACAATATATGCAAGATAAATTTATTTGTTAATGGAGTTGAATGGAACCTTACAGGTAAATGAAGGGCTTAATTGAGACAAAATGAAAAATTAAGGATTTAATTGAAATTATGTGCCAATTTAAGGACCAAATATGATTATAATATTTATTTGTTACCCAAAATATCCTTACTAACTCAATCATGTAATATACGCATGCATTTTTTGTTAGGATTTTTTATGGTGTTAGAAAGAAGGGCTACATTGAATTTTTTATTGACTAGTTGTAGGGCTTAATTGAGATAAAATAAAGATTAAAGGCTTGTCTGAAACTGAGAGCAAAGTTTAGGAGCTAAATATGATTTTTACACAAATTTAAATAAATTTATCTCCCGAAATTAGTTTATTTTAATATTTTCATAGTCAACGACTATAAATAAATCAAATTAATTCTAATATGATATTAAATCTTTGATGTCCTAGAGTCATCCTATTTTTTTTACTTTAAAAGTTTTGTGTTGATTTACATGCTATTGTTACTTCGCATGATGAATTAAAAATAAGAGAACATACCAACGTTGTGTATAGACCTGACAAAATTTAATAAGACCCGATTAATCAATACAAAATTAGTGTGCTTGAATTAGATTTTAATGAGTTTGGATGGTAAACATGTGGATCCTTATAACTCGCATAATAAACGAGTCGTGTTCTAGTAGAGTATCTTAAACCGTTTATCACCTGATTACCTTTTAATAATCTAGATTACTTATTTAATAGACCCAATTAATTTATTGCAAAATTAGAATTTGATTAAGAATTTTTTTGTGGTATATAACTGGCAAATAATATGGGGTTGTGTCATGTAATCTATTTAATAATCAAATCATATTTAATTTTAAAATTTTTACTTATTGAACTAAGGAGTCATAAGACGGGTTAAATATTGTTTGACGTAAAGTCGCCAAGACCTAACACGATTGTCAAGCCTCGTAGTATGTTGGATAAATTAAAATAAAAACTTTAAAAAACAATGGGACTAAATTAAAATTAAATTCGAAAATTAAGATTGTAATGAAAGTTTACATGAAGTCTGGTGAACCAACTGGGGTTGCTTAGATGGCCAGAGCCTCTGACCTCCTAGTGGGAGGTCAGGGGTTCGAAGTTTTCTGGGTGTAATAGTGCAGCTGCTTGGGGTTCGAAGTTTTCTGAGTGTAATAGTGCAGTTGCTAGGGGTTCGAAGTTTTTCTGGGCGCAATAGTGCCGGCTGTTTGGTAAGACAAGACTTCAGTTACTTGAACGAATCGTATCCAAGTCTCTGATGTGAGTTTTGAATTTTTGGCGAAATACAAGTCCTAATTTAAATAATGTATGAATTGAGAGACCGATTTATACCCTGAATTTTGCTGTTAATTCTACTCAGAGTTAAGAGCCTAGAAAAGTCTGGTTACTTGATAATGACAAGCCATAGCCATTCATTTGAATATAATGAGTTGCACTCGATGCCAAACCTAAAACTTCAGCAATATCACAACAAAGAAGATCCAAGTAGAATGCGTGAGTTTGAGAGGTTTTGACCCATCCCATGAGATTTTTAGAAAAAAGTCCCAACTAAGGCATGCTTTCAAAATATTTTCTAAACTCAGGTCAATTTAAAAACGTCATTTGGTCTGACGTTTTTAAGTCAAAAGACGTCAGTTGATGTGACATCTGTAACTTAAAAACGTCAAATCAACTAACGTTTTTAACACAAAGATTTTGGCCCACATCCACCCTAAAAACGTCAAAAACTGTTTGACGCCTTTATATTGTCTGACTTTTAAACACGTCAAACTGTTTGACGTCTTTAAAAGCCTTCATATTCCATGCCTTTTGTAAAAGACAGCACCCATATAATTCCATGCCTTATGTGAAAGACAGCACCCCGAAAACAAGTAAGGACATTTTAAATGAATTAAAATGTTAGTGCTTGAATAAGTAAATGAATTAATAATTGTTTGCGTAATTATCATAATTACCCCTTAAATTTTGTCTTGGATTTTAAATTAATCCTTAAAATTTTAATTGTTTTATTTCAATTAAATCCTTCAGTAATACCTAAATTATAGTGATTGGTTTTCTGCCCATTTTTTTTCTAAGTAAAATGTCAAATGTTTTTAAAATTCCTATCTCTTTAAGAGTATGAGTTTTTGTTATTTAACATTTTACTCAGAAAAAAATGGGAAGAAAACCAATCACTATAATTTAGGTATTACTAAAGGATGTAATTGAAATAAAACAATTAAAATTTTAAGGATTAATTTAAAACCCAAGACAAAATTTAAGGGGTAATTATGATAATTACGCAAACAATTATTAATTCATTTATTTGTTCAAGCATTAACATTTTAATTCATTTAAAATGTCCTTACTTGTTTTCGGGGTGCCATCCTTTACAAAAGGCATGGAATTATATGGGTGCTATAATTTACAAAAGGCATGTAATATGAAGGCTTTTAAAGAAGTCAAACAGTTTGACGTTTTTAAAAGCCAGACAATTTAAAGGGGTCAAACAGTTTGACGTTTTTAGGGTGGATGTGGGCCAGAATCTTTGCGTTAAAAACGTCAATTGGTCTGACGTTTTTAAGCTAAAGACGTCAATTCAACTGACGTTTTTTGGCTTAAAAACGTCAAACCAAATGACGTTTTTAAATTGGTATGGGTTTGAGAAATATTTTGAAAGTATGCCTTAGTTGGGACTTTTTTCNTGACGTTTTTTGGCTTAAAAACGTCAAACCAAATGACGTTTTTAAATTGGTATGGGTTTGAGAAATATTTTGAAAGTATGCCTTAGTTGGGACTTTTTTCTAAAAATCCCATGGGATGGGTCAAAACCTGTGAATTTGATGATGTTGATGACGTCACTAATTAAGTCGCTTCCATACATCTTCCCTCGGAATAAGTAAGATTTATCACTAGAAGAAAATAAAAAAAAATACATGGGTCAGTCAATGCAAATTTGAAACCAATGTTTTATTCAAGGAAAGTACTACTTTGTTTACAAAAATTTTAGATATGGTACCATAATAAATGAGTC